CCCCGCCCCACGCCCCCCCCCACATACACCCGCCGCACACCCTGTTACATAACCTGCCTCGCCGAGGCCGGGCTGGGGGAGCTGTTTCCAGGTGAGGGTTCCGAGGCCTTGCTAACGGAGCCCCAGGCAGCAGACTTACAAATAAACTTCACTCGGGGCTTTCCCTAAGCCAGAGGTGGAAAAAAGCAATGCCCAGAGAGGCGCGGCGGCGACCCAAAGTCACACAGCAGTTAAGCTGCTTGAGAGGACTGGGCCCAGGCTCTGAGCCTATGGATGCCCCAAGGTGGCAGGATCCTGTGGTTCTGCGTGCCGCCCCAAAGAGGCAAGAAACTCAGGTAACTGGGCCCCAGGCTTCCACACTATGGACAGCTTACAGAGAAAGAGAACTTCGAGGGTAAGATTTCTTTTTCATGAGAATATCTCCTTCCAGAAACAGGGGTTGCTGGTAGGAGCAATGCCCAGATGATGAATTCACTGATCTGGGTATTCGTCCATACTCTTGTGTGACACAGGGCAAGTCATCTAACCTCTCTGAGCCTCAGCCTCTTCATTTGCAAAAAGGATAAAAATTTTATACACCTTTTGTGGTCATGGGAAGGACTGAAGAGCTTGGAGGTGGTTTGCACACAGTAGGCACTCCAAAGGAGTTTTTCTTCCTCTCCCCTAGAAGCCTGGCTTCCCCAACCCACAGAGTGCTTTATGTTGGAAGAACTCAGGCCCACCACCTGACCTGGAAAAGCCCACCTGCCTCTGACCACAGTCTCTATGCACAAGCATCCCAGTGGGAAGCTTCCTGGGGGGTGGGGAGTGCTTGCTTGAAAGGTCTCTCACCCAACTTACTGGAGTCCCCTTGGAAATGAGAGAACCATCCTGTTCTAAGCAAATCTTTATCCCCCAGCAGTTGCCCACTCAGGCGCACTTAAAGCCCCTTGTCTGGAAGGCCTGGCCAAGGTTGGAGCCATGGGTATAGGTGTGGGGGCAGGTTAGAAACTGCCACTCTGCACCCATCTTCCCAGAAAGCAAGGCTACTGGGGAGCACCCATTAGGGAAGATTCTGTACTGTGCCCTGCTGCACCAGCCCACCAGCCCCTACTTGTTTTTTGAAGCCACCTTAAATTATGAGCAAGCTATTCAATCACCAGTGCCAGGCCAGGCCCCACGCAGCCAAGAATCCCTTCTGAATTCAAAACTACCCAAAAGTGGCCCCACACCCCCACTCAAGCCCTCATTCCAGGGGCCACATTCCTCTCCCCACCCCCTGTCCACCCCCAGGGATTTCTGGACCTATCCTAATCTCCCAGTGCAATTCAGAGGCCCCTTTCCCTCACTCAGCCTTCATAATGATCCCAAGTGGTTTTGTCTCAAAATCACTTGACTCTGTATGTTTCTATCCCAGATCCAAGTATTAGGGATTTGCAGATAAAGGAAGTGAGGCTTTTAAAATGGCAAGATGTCAGAGGAACGAGGACAGGCTTCTCCTCACTCACCCCTCACCCCCCTCCTTCCCCAGCAGCTCCTTCCAAATGGATTTCATAAAGAAGCAGCTGCCCCACCCCCTCTTTTTCTTTCTTTTTCCAGAAGTCTAAGTTTTGAAAATACATTTTAAAATATTTGCCTGTGTAGGAGAAATAGATTTATTTAGACAGGAAGGGGGGCGGGGAGGGTTCAGTTACCAGTTTTTCCATGAAGGCTTCCAGCCCACAGAGGTCTCTCCTTTCCATAAATACTCAATCCAACTTGCTTTGATTATATACTCTCCTACATATAATGAAATAGAACATATATTATTAAAATGTGTAATGCTAAAACACACACACACACTCGTGTGGCTCATGGAGACAGGGTAAGAGGGTAGAAGGAGATAAGCTCCAGAGACCCTGGGTTGATACTGGTTATCAGGAGGACAGAACAGCTGTAGCACTCAGACTTATTTCTCTTTGCTCCTGCCTAGGAGACTAACTTCCTCAGTCCACGGGGTTCCAAATCTTTCCAGCTGTCAGACGTCAGAGAAGTTACTTGCCCTCTCTGGGCTTCAGTTTCCTCATCTGAAACACCAGAATGACATATCTATCTTACAACACTGTCATCATAAATGAAAAGTGCATCTTTGATAACAGGCATAAAGAAAAAGTCTCCAACATAGTGGCAGATCATTTCCATACAGAAGGATTTAAGGGAGAACCAGGGCTGAGGACCTTGTCTTGAAGCTGGATATTTAAAATGCTTACCCTAGCTTGGCTTAGTTGATTGTTTAAGTTTGGGGGGCTATACAGATGGGAACAATATCACTTCTAAATGTCATTACAAATGTCCAGTAAATCTCAGCCCCAGTGTTGTTGCCTTCACTCGGGTCCCTTAGCTAGTCAGCAGCCAAGCCAGAACCATAGCCCTTCTTTTGACTCCCAGACCAGTGCTATTTCTACCTACCATTGTGCTCCTCCATACCAAGCATCCTCTTTCAACACAAATTCCAGGAACCACTTCACAGCTTCTGTTGCAGATAGGAAAGCTGAGGTGAGAGAAGATGAACTACTCACATGGCTGATGGGGGGTGTACAGGGGCAGGGACACAAGCGCCCTAGCCAATGCTGTCCCATTCTGGGAAATTCCTGAGAAGAGAACAAGTCCTGCAACAGAAAGTTTCCCTAGTGTTATGGGGAAGCAAGACACAAGAATAGATATGAGCCCAGTGAGGTGGTGTACACCATAATCCCACCCTCTCTTGTGGCTGAGGCAGGAAGATTGCAAGTAATTAAAAAAAAAAAAAAGTTGAGGTTGTAGATAAGTGGTAGAGTGCCCCTGTAATCCCCAGTATAATAATGATTATTAAAATAATGATAATATAAACATTTAAGAAGCAGACTCCAAGAGGTCTCAAGCTGGCACCCTGGTGGACACTTTATAAAGAGTTCATCTCAGAGGTCACCCTGTAGGAAGAGAATGTGGGATACAGTATGAAAGGAGACACAAGACTAGTGTGGGTAGAGGAAAGCATCCCACAGAGGAGAGTCTGCCTGTAAAGCACATAGCTATGGGGTGGGGCAGAGTTGAGGTCCTGATGGTGGGAAAGTAGTAAGCCAAGATGAGCCACAGGACCCAGGACTCTTTGTGGCCTTCCACATATACCCCTCCAGGTCCTAGTCTTAGAAGGCTTCCATTCAGCTCCACCCAGCCAGGGAGACACCATTCCACTCCACCTCAACCCCAGCCCACGAAAGGGTGGGGCAGGGTGGATGTCAAGGGGGTTCCCTAGCCTGTTTGGGCCTGAAGGTGCTCCCCTGCTCAGGGCCAACCCAGAATAAGCAGAGGGGCTGTGGAGGGGATTCCCTTCATAGATTCCTTCCTCATCTTGAGAATCAAGAACTACCTGACTGGGGTCCCCCCATCTCTCGGGTTTAAGAGTAATTCAAGGGCAGAAAAAAAGGTGGGGCACAAAGACAGGGCTTTCCTGGGGCTGCCCCAGCGATGGGGGCGTTCAAGGGCACCACCCAATTGGGGTCACATGCTCAGATCTGCATAAGGAAGAGGTGGCCACTCAGTGCTTTTCTTAGTGCCTCCACATTTGCTGTCCCTGATTGTCATGGATGGCCATCTGGGCCAGCATGAGAAAGTGATCAAGGTCACCAGGCCGGAAACGGCATAACTGCTGGAATTAATGACATTTCTCTTAAATCCAAGCCAGGATTCTTTATTAAAAATAAATAAAAATCCTGTGTAACTTAATTACAAAATCAAACATGCTCATTGTAAACAAATGCAAATGTTACAAAACTGCATGACTGATTAAGTGCGAAGTCCGTAATCCCATTCCCAGAGGAGTAGGAATTGGGTCATTCTCTGGTGTCTGCTTCCAGATTTTTCTCAACGTCTATGAGCATGGGATCTGGCCTGGGGACGCTCCCCTAGGGGCCAGCGACCGGAACGCCAGGCCGGAAGGAACAGGGCCGGGCCACTCCAATGCGGGAGGCCTCGGCTGGCCAAGCCCCACGCTGCGTTCCGGGGGCCGCAGTGCTGCCCTGAGCCAGTGCTGCCCCGCGCCAGTCCCTGCAGGGCCGGGTGCGGCCGGGGAAGCCACTACGTCACAAGGCGGTCTGGAGGGAGCCCGCTGGGCCAGCCAGGATTCCATTACATCACCCGGGGCGAGGAGCCGGCGTTCTGTAAACGCCGTGGCAAACCATTGGCTACCGTGCCGCCCAACCAACCAATAGCACCAGAGTATGCAAATCACTTGTTGAGCCAACGCTTCCTCGGGTCTGCTGTATGCAAATAGACGTCATCGCCCGGATGGAAGTTCCCAGAGGAGGGATGAGAGGCGTCCTGAACGAAGTTTGTAGGGAGCTGTTGTGGGGACTTGCTATCCCAAAGCTCTTAAATCCAATCCCAAGAGGACTGGAGTTTGATTGACGGTGAATTATGGGGTTGACTGACCAGTTAGACCCCGCTGCTTGGGAATTCAGTGAACATGAGCAATGATGCAAAAATTAT